AAAGGGGGATTTGGGATTTTGGGGGAATTCGGGGAATTCCAAAGGAGCCGCTGCTTCCTCAGCCACTTCCGGGTCTGGCAGGAGGTGAGCAGGGGCGTTCGGGAATTCGGGAATTTGGGATGGGAATTTGGGAATCTGGGATGGAAATTCGGGAATGTGGGGGGTCCGGAAGGATCCAGGGGGTCCAGGGGATTCGGGATTTTGGGGGAATTTGGGGAATTCCAAAGGAGCCGCTGCTTCCTCAGCCACTTCCGGGTCTGGCAGGAGGTGAGCGGGGGATTCCGGAATTTGGGAATTTGGGGTGGGAATTTGGGAATTTGGGATGGAAATTCGGGATTTTGGGGGGTCTGGAAGGATCCAGGGGGTCCAGGGGATTTGGGATTTTGGGGGGATTCAGGGAATTCCAAAGGAGCTGCTGCTTCCTCAGCCACTTCCGGGTCTGGCAGGAGGTGAGCGGGGGATTCCGGAATTTGGGAATTTGGGGTGGGAATTTGGGAATTTGGGATGGAAATTCGGGATTTTGGGGGGTCTGGAAGGATCCAGGGGGTCCAGGGGATTTGGGATTTTGGGGGGATTCAGGGAATTCCAAAGGAGCTGCTGCTTCCTCAGCCACTTCCGGGTCTGGCAGGAGGTGAGCGGGGGCGTTCGGGAATTTGGGGTGGGAATTTGGGAATTTGGGGTGGGAATTTGGGAATCTGGGGTGGGAATTTGGGAATTTGGGGTGGGAATTTGGGATTTTGGGGTGGGAATTTGGGAATTTGGGGTGGGAATTTGGGAATTTGGGGTGGGAATTTGGGAATGTGGGGGGTCCGGAAGGATCCAGGGGGTCCAGGGGATTCGGGATTTTGGGGGAATTTGGGGAATTCCAAAGGAGCCGCTGCTTCCTCAGCCACTTCCGGGTCTGGCAGGAGGTGAGCAGGGGGATTCGGGAATTTGGGATGGGAATTCGGGAATTTGGGGTGGGAATTTGGGAATTTGGGATGGAAATTCGGGATTTTGGGGGGTCTGGAAGGATCCAGGGGGTCCAGGGGATTTGGGATTTTGGGGGGATTCAGGGAATTCCAAAGGAGCTGCTGCTTCCTCAGCCACTTCCGGGTCTGGCAGGAGGTGAGGAAGGGAAATTTGGGAATTTGGGATGGGAATTCTGGAATTTGCGGGGTCTGGGAGTCCAGGGAATTCCCAATGGTGGGAGCGGCACTCCCGGGGTCCATCCCAAATCCTGGAGTGGGTGGGTGATTCCCAGAATTCCCGGGATCCATCCCAAATTCACGGAATTCCCGGCACTCCGGGGGTCCCTCCCGGTTCCCGGCACTCCGGGCGCCCCTCCCGGTTCCCGACATTCCCGGGGTCCCTCCCTGTTCCCGGCATTCCCGGGGTGCCTCACGGTTCCCGACATTCCCGGGGTCCCTCCCTGTTCCCGGCATTCCCGGGGTGCCTCACGGTTCCTGACATTCCCTGGAACTCCCATTCTCCCTCCTGGTTCCCGTTGTCCCTCCCGGTATTTCCTGGATTTCCCGTTGTCCCTCCCAGTTCCCGTTATTCCCGGATTGGGGTGGGAATTTGGGAATTTGGGGGTTCTGGGAGTGCAGGGGGATCCAGAGAATTCCCAAGAGTGGGAGCGGCTCTCCCGGAGTCCATCCCAAATCCCTGGAATTCCTGGGTGGGTGGTTGGTTCCCAGAATTCCCGGAGTCCATCCCAAATCCCCGGAATTCCTGGGTGGGTCGTTGGTTCCCAGAATTCCCGGGGTCCATCCCAAATCCCCGGAATTCCCGGCACTCCCGGGGTCCATCCCAATCTCCGTCATTCCCGGGGTCCCTCCCCATTCCTGGCATTCCCGGAATTCCTGGGGTCTGTTCCCATTGTCCCTCCCGGTTCGCGTTGTCCCTCCCGGCATTCCCTGGAATTCCCACTGTCCCTCCCAGTTCCCGTTATTCCCGTCATTCCCGTTGTCCCTCCCGTTATTCCCGGGTCCCTCCTGGTTCCCGTTATTCCCGGGTCCCTCCCTGTTCCCGTTGTCCCGGTTCCCGTTATTCCTGTTGTCCCTGCCGTTATTCCCGGTTCCCGTTATTCCCGGGCCCCTGCCGTTATTCCCGGTTCCCGTTATTCCCGGGTCCCTGCCGTTATTCCCGGTTCCCGTTATTCCCGCGTCCCTGCCGTTATTCCCGGTTCCCGTTATTCCCGTTATTCCCGGGTCCCTCCCTGTTCCCGTTATTCCCGGTTCCCGTTATTCCGGTTCCCGTTATTCCCTGTTCCCGTTATTCCCGGTTCCCTGCCGTTATTCCCGTTATTCCCGGTTCCCGTTATTCCCAGTTCCTGTTATTCCCGGTTCCCGTTATTCCCGTTGTCCCTGCCGTTATTCCGGTTCCCGTTATTCCCGGGTCCCTCTCGGTTCCCATTATTCCCGTTATTCCCGGGTCCCTGCCGTTATTCCCGTTATTCCCGGTTCCCTGCCGTTATTCCCGTTCCTCCCAGGTCCCTGCCGTTATTCCCGGTTCCCGTTATTCCCGTTGTCCCTGCCGTTATTCCGGTTCCCGTTATTCCCGGGCCCCTCCCAGTTCCCGTTATTCCCGGTTCCCTGCCGTTATTCCCGTTCCTCCCAGGTCCCTGCCGTTATTCCCGTTATTCCCTATTCCCGTTATTCCCGTTATTCCCGTTATTCCCGTTATTCCCTGTTCCCGTTATTCCCGGTTCCCTGCCGTTATTCCCGTTACTCCCGTTATTCCCGGTTCCCATTACTCCCGTTATTCCCGGTTCCCTGCCGTTATTCCCATATTCCCGTTATTCCCTGTTCCCGTTACTCCCGTTATTCCCGGTTCCCTGCCGTTGCTCCCAGATCTCGGCGCGGGGCCTGCGGCGCTCGCTGGTGTTCGAGGACGATCTGCGCTTCGAGGTTTTCTTCCGCAGCCGCCTGACGGAGCTGATGGAGCAGCTGGACGCGGCGGCCATCGACTGGGACCTCATGTGAGCCTTCCTCATCCCCATCCTCATCATCATCCTCATCATCATCACCCCAAAACTCATCCCAAAACTCATCCCTGTCCAAACCCCCTGGGGCCTCATGTGAGCCTTCCTCATCCCCATCCTCATCCTCATCCTCATCCCAAAACTCATCCCTGTCCAAACCCCCTGGGGCCTCATGTGAGCCTTCCTCATCCTCATCATCATCATCATCATCCTCGTCCCAAAACTCATCCCAGTCCAAATCCCCTGGGGCCTCATGTGAGCCTTCCTCATCCTCATCATCCTCATCCCAAAACTCATCCTTATCTCAAAGCTCATCCCAGTCCCCTGGACCTTGTGTGAGCCTTCATCGTCATCCTCATCATCCTCATCCCAGTGCTCCCCATTTCCCGAGGCCCTAGTGGATCCCATTGGGCCCAGTGATCCCAATGACTCCATTGACCCCCATGACCCCACTGACCCCATTGATCCCATTGATCCCAATTATCCCATCGATCTCATTGATCCCATTGACCACAGAGATCTCATTCATCCCAATGACCCCAGTGACTGCATTGATCCCATTGAGCTCATTCATCAATGACACCATTAATCCCATTGACTCCATTGATGACAGTGACCCGATTAATCTCATTCATGCCATTTGACCCCATTGATTCCAATGACCCCAATGACCCCATTGACTTCATTCATCCCATTGATCCCGCTGATCTCATTCATCACAATGACACCATTGATCCCATTGATCCCAATGACCCGATTAATCTCATTCATCCCATTGACACCATTGATTCCAATCATCCTATTGATCCCATTGATCCCAATGACCGCATTGACCCCAGTCATCCCATTGATCCCAATGACCCCATTGAGCCCAATCACCCCATTGATCCTGATGATCCCAATGACCCCGTTGATCCCGTTGACTCCATTGATCCCAATGACCTCA